CTTCAATTCCCTTGCACAATACAATCATGATCTACCACACAAATTCAAAGAAACTCGAGGGTCGATCTGTTGCCCAAATAGGAAATGTAATTGGAAAAAGTGTCTCAGGGGTGCCTCGTGCCTGTTGCCCTCTCTTTGTATGTGCCTTGCATGTAATCCCTCTTGTCCTAGACTCCTTAGTATACTGTTTCACTGGAAGTTCTACAGTTCCAAGCTCTTGAGTAGCTACAAGTATATTAGAAAGGTAGCAAGGCCTTCATTCCTGTTTCTATCTAGTATTCCTATCCTATCATCACTTTCGTTGACCCTTTTTGGGATCTTTCTCATACACTCCCTTCTTTTTCAAGTGTTTCAAGTTTTTTATAGTTCATTTGAACTTATTGCAATCAAGAATAGATCATACACATTCTTTGTGACCTAACATAAACCTGACGTTGCACGGGAGATCATTCGCTTGGCCGTTTGCGGCCCCAATTTTCTTTTTATCGCCTTTCCCCTCCAACTTCTTCTCCCTACAACAACTCGCCAAAACAGTCATATCACCAACTTGCTGTCGCATCCCCCGGAAAAGGTGCAAATTGAAGCGCATTTCAACGACAAAATCATCCATTCATTTTCGCATTTTCAACTCCCTTGTCGCCCATCGCAACTGCCTCCGGCGCAATCGCAGCCTACCCACAAATCGCGCGACCGCGCAACAACTCGTTGACTCTCTCTCTTTAATATCATTTATCTTCAAACCAACTTCAAATCGCTCAAATCGCTCAATTCAATTTATATTTACAATCATGCTTCTCCCATCCGCCCTCCCATGCGAAGTGCGCCGGTCGTCTCGCTTCACTCCCAGTCGCCTATTCTCAACTCCTCCCCCATCCGACACAGGATTTCCATCAGGCAACGGTCTCCTCGGCACTTGCCGCGCACTACAGTCTCTACTCAACAGATCACCCACGCCTTCATCGCGATCGGTGAACTCCCAACGCCTCCAGAGCCCCCTCCCCTTCAACACACCCCGTCGCTCACCGCGATCGCAAAAGGCCGCGCGCCCAGTCTCTCCTAGACAAACACCACCACCCAGAACCGCCGCTCTCTCACCACCCCCTCCTCCATCCGCACCCGCGCGCGGTGCAAACAAGCGCCGCCGCGACATTTTCGATGACGATGACAGCGACGTGGAGATGAGTCGCCCGCGCAACCGCTTCGCGACTCCCAAACGCCGCCGTCACGTTCCTTACAATATGCCTCTCGGCCTTTCCTCCACAGACTTTTACTCTCTACACTCTCCTCCTGTCACCCAATCTCCTCCCTCTCCTCCTCGTCGCCAGATGGATTATGACATCCAGGCTGGCTCACGCATCAACCCAGACGCGCCTCTGCCCTCCATCGAGGTGACAGAGGAACACACTCCTTCGGCTCCACAAGACTGGACCCCCGAAGAAGACCAACGCCTTCTCGAGCTGGTCCTTGAGAAATTTAGCCTCTCCCAACAAGAATGGGATGAGTGCGCGCGCCAAATGGGCCGCAGCCACGTCGGGCCCAGATGGGGGTCCCTCATTGGTGAGGGTCGTGTCGGCCTGCGCCCGCGTCGACGTTGAATATTGCCCATGGCAATTATCACCGTCTCTTATTAATGTATTATATGATCTCTGTACCACCCTGTGACTGACCCTATTCCCGTTGGCCTTGGCTTGATTTCTTTGCCAAAACACCCCTGTATTATCATACCTTCTTGTATCTGTGAGACTTGTTTATTTTCTTTTCGGTTTGTTGTCTATTGACCAGCACAAATTGCTTGTTTTCTTTTACTTTGTCCGGTGTTGTGAGTTCCGTTCTACTCGGGCTATGTGAATATGCTTCTGTTTCTTTTTTCCTGCTCATATACTGTTCTTTTTGTGTGACTTACTCTTCCACACCTGCGTTTGTTTGGGAATTGTACTACTATCTACTACTACCAACTTAACTTATATTTTTAATAATCTATTATTCCCACTATAAGTAGACGTATATTTTGACTATCGCTCAATGCATGCTAGTTACAATCGTCTCATCGTATTTTATTGTTTTTTGACCAACCGGCTCTCTCGGCTCAGTTGGTAAGGCCAGACTTTGATCTGACCCTATGAGGCCTGGTATGGATATACCTGGAGCAGAGTGAAAACCTGCTATCAATGCAACTTCAAAAATTTGCCATGATTCTGAATACCCCTAGGGCTTAACTTCAAAACTCACCTACAAGCATATATTCAAGGTACGGGAAATGAGGAATTGGATATTTGTGAAAAATCCAGTATGTATACGGCTCCATCCAACGCCAGACACCAATTGTGCTGCGCAAAGTAAAATTAACATGAAACTGGACTCAAGTCCATTGATATCAACACTGCTCGTTGGAATTATCTCCCACACGAACCAAAATCACCTCGAAATTTCGAGAATAATCAGAATCTAAATGAAGCGATTGAGTTAGCGACAAACCCCATACCACCAGTGGAAAGATAAAACACATACCGAATCTCATAGCTCCCTGCGCGAGTCATGTAGCGCACCCACTTGACAGAGCTATAGTTATTCTTCTCAAAGACCTTAAGATAGCGCACCAGCAAACCCGACGAGGTAAACATGAGCAAACTAAACGAAAGACTCAACGGCGGACGACTCCAAGCCTTCTGATGCGTCATGGTCGTAAGCGTTGCCTCAGCATTGAGCACGTACTCCGACTGTCCGGAGAAACGCGCAATCTTCCAGACAATATTGTTCTGCTCCGGCTCATACTTGGCGCGGCCCTGGCTCGTGCGCTCCGTAGTCTTGGCAGTATTAAGCGGCGTGGGGATCCGAATAACGACATTTGTAGCGAAGAGCTTGGAGCTGTAATTGGCTTTGATAGCAACACTGTATTCGACCTTTGTAGTACCGATCTCGCGCACAATCGGGTGCACCTTGAAAGGCAAGTTGACGTTCTCTGTGGCGCGGTAGCGCATCAGCTCGAACTCGCCGTCCGGCGGCACGAAGGAGATGATGCGGTCTGCGTCGAAACGGCCCAGCTTCACGCACTGGTGGAACTGGCAGTCTTCCAGCGTGACGGAGCCTGCCGCAGCGCGCGTGGTCTTTGATGTGTTGAGTCCGTTGCCGCCGCCCGGGTTATTCATGTTGCTGGAGGTCTCGCCGGTGTCTAGAAGGAGACGGTCGTTCAGGCCGAATTTGCATTCTGGGGTGCCGGATAGGTAGGCGCGCATGACGATCTGGCCGTTGACGTCGGCGCGGAGGACGGTGCCTGTTGCGGACATCAGGAGGTTGACGTCCTCGATTACGTCTACGAAGGCTTCGTTTTTGCGGTATTTTATGTCGGAGCGGCGCCAGGAGATAGCGCCTGTTGCTTGTTGGGTGATTCGGGAGGAGTCTGTTGGGTTGTTGGCGATGGCGGATTTGACGCCTTCGGTTGTGATGTACATTTTCAGGGTATCTGGATCGGTGTTCTGGGGGTATCCGAAGTCGAGGATTTCTATGTCATCAATTGTTAGGGTCTGCTTCTAGAGCATTGGGCCTTTTCCATCTCTTACCATCGAGCAGTTCGTAAATCAGGACGAAATTGTTCTTCACGGCCTCCTCGTCGAGCTTCCCGAAATAGCTCTTGCCCAGCATGACCAGCCGGTAGAGGAACTCGAAGACCAGCGCGGCATTGGCATTGCTCTTGGTCACAGCTACCAAATAGATGTTTTCGTGTTTGACATGGCTGAAGGTCGTCGAGCCCAAGGTCAGGATCGGCGAGCGCACCTGGGGATTAGAGATGACTTGAATGCGGAAGATGTCGGCTAGTCGCGGACGACAATCGCTGCGGAAGGCGCGAAAAATGAGGTTTTCGCCCTTCTGGTTAAATATGAGGATCCCCGAGAGCATATTGTTGTGATGAGTCGACTTGCTCCTGGGAATGGAAGTTGGAGAGCTGCGGAAACAGGGGTGGGGGTAGATCGACACCGCCTGAGGTATAAAAGGAGGTCAACTCCAGTGGATGAACCGACTACATATATTTTAGGTGCATGTATTCTCCTGCCGTCTGAACTCTGCTAATATCCTAAACATCCAAAAGAAAAGAAAAGAAGAAGAAAAATCGACAAGACTGATATCTTCAGCTAAGGCATGTGATATCTACGTTGCTTATGTCTCGGCCTCTTTCGGGCTTACAGATATGGATGTTGAATGGAAGAATCTGCTGCAAGAGCGTTTAGGCACACAGGACGACATGAGGATTCCAAGGCAATTTGGAAGAATTTGGGTAATCTAAGACAATATCCGGATTTGGATGAGAATGGCCACGAAACATTGACGAGATCATTTTAGACTAGGGACAAAAGTATTGGCTTTGGAATGAAGTTGATCAATCCATGGTGGACTATACCTGGAATTGAGCTTGATATACATTCTTACTTGTTGTGTTGATAGTCTCGCCCAATGTACTCTGTACGGCTTGTCGGAATGGATACCAGAAACTGCCGTAGAAGGCTTGCCATGCAGGCAAAGCAAACACTGGGTAAATGTATAAGTACCATATGAACCATGGGCTGTTCTACTTCTATTAAATATCGAGGTGAGATGAGCATTAAAGCGGAGAGAAAACAATTCCGCAATATTATTCTTTTGAGAATACCAACAACTCTAAAGGTTAGAATACAGTATGACAGCCGGATATGGACAAAGAGGCATGGTCAAGATGACAATAAGAAATCAGGGTAAAGTAGCCCCTAGGGGAATCAACAGGGATATGTAGACAAGGTTAACAGAAGAAATAGGAAAGAAAGGTATCAGATCACAAAAAGATTAAAAGGAAGCGTCGAACTCGAATGACGAAGGTATATAAGGAGAGATCTGGTGTCGAAAAAAAAAATAAAAAAATGGCCGCGGGATGGATATCATGCAGAGGTCTTAGGAAGGGAACAAATCACAAAGATGTACAATCAGAAAGCAAAAGGGAAAAACGGCGCACTCCAGCCTGACAAAAACCCCCATCAAGATCCAGCCCCAATACCAGTACTCGGCCTGGTATTAGGAGCCGAAGGTGCCTCACTGGGTACGATGCCAACCTTGGGATCGGGAATCTGGATATCAAGCGACATATACGCCGTCCGCCTCAAGCTCCAGATATGAACACCATCCTTGGCGCCGACCTCACGGTTCCAAGTCTCCAACCAAGCCTCGACATGCTGTAGCTGGCTTTTCGTCGCGGGAGCATTGAGATCATCCCATACCCAACCAGTCAACAGACCCAATACGCCATCAAACCAATTGCGAAAACTGAACGGGTCAAATGCCTTGACAATGCCATCATTGACGGTAGAAATCACCCGTCGAAACTCCTGCTCCGACAACAACGGATCGAGAATCTCAGGATAAAGATTCGAAAACGTCGGCGCCAAATCACCCTTAATCATCCAATCGCGCCGGATCCGAATCACACGCGTTGTCATATGTTCCCTCGACCCGATAGGCACATGGGGATTTATATGCGGGAAACAAGGGTGAGCCGGGCCCCAAGCGAGCTCCTCGGCGACATCGGCGTGCGGCTGACCGGTATGCGAAGGGACAGAAGCGATCTGAGACTGGGAGTGGAGGGAAGTTTGTGACTGAGCGTGACGGGGACGGTCGTTCTGACGAGTTCCGTTCTGTGTGAGGTGAACAGCTTCGGGGGGACGCAAGTTCTCCGTTTCGCGCGCAGCGCTGCCCGCGAACGCGGCTGTCATTTCTGTGAATTCTTCGCTGCGACGGTGTCGTCTAGGCAGAGCAATGCTAGTGCGGCCACTTTCTGTTTCCCCCTGGCTGCGCTCGACAAGTAGGCTGCTCGGGGACGGGGTTAGGCGGCTGCGGCGTCGCTCTGGGACGCTGAGAAGGGGATGGGCGTCGCGTGAGTGGCCGAAACCTAGAGGGAGACTATCGTCTGATTGGTGGGGGCGGACGGTTATTGGGGTTATTCGTGGGACGTGGTTGACTGGGTTTGCGAGTCGGACTGCTGGTGGGCGGAGGAGCGACGGCGGGCCTGAGATCGGGACGCACTGTCGCCGCTGAGCGCGAACGAATGACGGAGTTGACTCCACGGGGGCGCGGTTGGCTGGAGGCCCAGGTAGGACTTGTTGGCCGCGTGGATAACGGTATGCTTCTTCCTCCCTCGATCGAGGTCTGGGGGATTTTAAGGACGCCGTTTTGAGGGGAGAAAGGAGAGGGGGAGAACTGGAGTGGAGATTGGAGACCGGGCCAGGAAAAAGTGCCCTATGTGGACATGCAACAAATGAGTGTGAGAAATAAGATTAGAAAAGAATTAGGGGGATAAGAAAGAAGGTTTGACTTTGTCGGTGAAATTCAAGGTGAAATTCGAGAAATCCTTGTAAATCCGTATATAAGAAGCTCGCTTGGCGTATATAATGTCGACTGCTAAATGACAAAAAATTGAAAAATTGGACATGAAAAAGGATGCTACATCTTATATCAAAGTGACAGGGACTCGAAAGGGATACACATCCAATAATCTTAATAAAATATATGCGAGTCGTTTGCCCCCGGTTTCATTCTGATTAATCCACCGTCCCTTGTTTCATCTCGGCGTTTATTGGGTATAGTATGCACACTCTAGCAAACGCTAATCGAGGTACTATTGCTATTATCAATGACGAACTGCATTTCAATTCAGGCCAAGTCTCGGCAGTGCTCAGTAAGACCGTCTTACTTGCTGCATAGAACTTGTAGGCACGAATTAGGCAAGAAAATACATTATCAGATAGTAATTATAGACATGGATGCAGTAAGTACTTCATAAAGTCATTGGAAAGACACATCGCCATGGCGTGTAATAACAACACCTAAGATATATATAAATATATATATATATACACATTAATAATAAAATAAAATAAAAACAAATCAAAGGGTATCGAGTAAAATGAATGAACCATGGGCACTACAGCTTTCGATTCGCCGAAGCCTGCATACGACGCATTGCCTGCCGATGTAGTTCCGTCATGTTGCCACGCTGCATACCGTCTGCGATGGCATCGCCCAGCTGAGCAGAGGAGGCGTCGCGCATCTGCTGCACAGAGTTCCATGTAGTGCGCCGGTCAGTGGGGCTGGTCGGGCTGAGAGGTCTGGACTGGAGGGTCAAAGGATCTTGCTTTTGGGTAATTTCCTCACGGACAGATTGTCGCCACGCTGCCATTCTTGAAGCAGACCGGTTCAGCTCGCCGGCGAGAGCTGGTGGGGTATACGTTGGGGATTGGACAGCCTCGAGGCTGGCAAGGCTTAATGCGGATGGGGACTGCACTGTCTGGCGCTGTAGTAGGGTGCGCCGCTTGGAAAGTGGGATGTCGTCCTCGTTGAATTGGACTTGTTCATGTTCCATCTCCCTTTCTTCGGGGATGGGGAGTGGTGAAATTGGGGAGACGAGGGGCGCCATGTCAGGTAGGGACTGTCGGGATAGGTTGCGTGCGGCCCAGGGATCGAAGCGGTTAGATGTTGAGGACATGCGGTTTCGGACCATATTCTCGCGGACTGCGAGGAGGGGAGGTGGTCCATTCCAGCGTGATGATGATTCTGCTTCTTTGGGCTCGTTGGCAGTAGTGATTGTCAACATGGGAGTCGATGTGTTGCGCATCGCCGTCATTCCCGGTTCCTGAGCTGGAATAGGGCCAGAAGCCGAGCGTAGCACGTTGACTGAAGCTGTCGAGTTGTTCCGGGTTAAATTTGGACTCGCTTTGGTAAGACCTTCCGCGCCTGTCCGCGTCTTGGATCGGGGAATATTCGGCAAGGGTACCGATGAGATGTAGGCAGGTTGTTGATTGTCCGTGTCATCGAATTCAGGCCTGTTCACGGTTGGTCGTGGTTGTGCAGTGAGAGGTGTCTGAAGAAGACCGCCTACATCAACAAATGCTGCGGTCTCGTGAAATTCCTCTGAGTCTTCTACTTCAGGTTCAGGTTCGAACTCGATTGGCTCCATTTCAGGGATGTCCGCATCGGCGAGATGCTTGGCCCATTCGTTCGTGCGGTACGAATGGATCACTCGTGATGTTTGCTCAGGAATGCATTTGACGTTTGATGCATCCAGTTTCTTGAGCACTTTGATCTTTGGCTCAACCTTGGGCTCGGGCAAAGATACAACCGGCTCGAGAATGGACTCGGCTTTGGTGGTTTTAGCAGTAGGAGGTCGATCTTCATTACCATCCTCCACATTTTCTCCTTCTATGTCGTTCAGAGGGGGCGGCATCAACGTAGCTGTGGGCTTGACTTCCTCGGTCTTCCTTGGAGCATCTGGAATGTCAGCCTCAACATCTGTTGCGGGCGTTTCCGGCGATTGGGGCTTCTCTGACGCTTCGGAGATGCCAGAATTTTCCAGAGGACTGTTGCCAACGGTGCTCTCGACAGGATATACCTGCTGAACAGACTTGCTGACAGCAGTCTCTTCTGTGATCATTTTCTCGTCGTCTTTTTGGGTCGTGGCTGTATCGACATGGAGTCCAGTATCCTGGGCAGCTAGTGAACCGGCATTTGACTTGATCTCCACATCTGCAGAGTCCTTCTCCGAAGCTAGCTCAGCGTTAATTTCTCGCTGCACCTTTTCAACACCACCAGCAACATCAGCATCCGAGATAACACTCGGGCAACCGACGCTCATCTCATCGAGATCATCGACAACTCCCAGTACAGAAGAACTGGCATCGTCATGAGTTACCAGGTTCTCCTGAGACTCTGAAACATTCATCACACTATTGCTGTTCCGCCAAGAGAGCCGGTTCAACATTTCTCTGCCAGAGAACCGTTTAGAGCGAGGCGTACCAACCTCCGAACCGATGTCAGCACCGTTTTCAGAGGCGTCATCATTGCCCTCGCCAAGAATATGGGTAATAACAGGTGTAGTAGGTCTCGGTGTCTTTCCTTCAGATTGACCCTCATTCTCGGTACCCTTTTCCTGATCTGCTGACTGACTCTGTTGGGATGAATCCTCCTCCGGGACGGCCTCAAGTTCGCGAGTATTGCTTGCACCCTGCTGGTTCTTCTCGCCGTCAGAGGCACTGCCAGAAGCATCCGGGCTCAGCATTTCCTTGAGCTCGATTTCACCCTCTTTATCGTTGTCAGAGGAGTGAAACCCATCCGAGCCCCGTCTGGAGTCACCGATAGCAGTCTCCGAAACTGAGGTGGTTTTGCTATCGGCAGCCTTTCCGTTTCCGTAAATGAGTTCCCATTCGGCACGCTCTTGGATATTCTTTTCCTCGAGGCGACGACCAACTTCGGCATCTTCTTCTTCGATCTTTCGGGTGTGTTCCCGGCGGGAAGCTTCTTCCTTCGCTCTGCGCTCCTTGATGAGATTCCAAAGTCTGATCTGGGAAATTACCCCCAGAACAGCAATAATGATATTCGCGGCGAGCTCAACACGAATACCACGTGTCACGGGGTAGGTGTCCGTTCGGAGAGGGAAGACGTTTTGGTTCAATCCTGGATTCGTCAGCAACTATGAACAGTTTGAAACCAAATTATTAGACTTACCCCAGATATATAACCAGAACTCTTTCAATCCAGCTCTGCTGTAGCAATCGATTCCAAGGACCAAGGCAGTTGCACCGGCGAACGAAGTGCATCCGATCAGGCCGTACGACCGGGTATAGTGGCTGAACGATAGGGAGTAGAATCCCACAGCAAAGGCAATAATCATACCAGCCTTGGGGCCACTTGCGGTTACAAGGCCGCCAGATTTTAAGGCAAGGAACCACATGCTCAGACAGAAACCGCCCAGAAGGCAGCCCAGTCCCTCGCAGATTTCCCTGAAGACGAGCGACAGACCACCGAACACAGCGCCGGTGAAGAAGACGGCGACGAGATAGCCGCCCTGCACGGCGTTGCTTACCGGTGGGCTCATTACGTAGATAATGAGGACCTGTATACAAATCGGTTAGTTTTGTTCTTTATCGTTTTCCGAGTATAGAACTTACGGTAACTCCCAATGCGCTAAGGAATCCGGTTGAGAGCATGATTTGGACCCTTTTCTTTGTTAGCAAAATGTTATTGTTATAGAAGGATCAAAGATTGAATACCATTGTTGGCGGACGCCAATGAAGGCCAGGACTGCCCCGAGGGCAATTAGTATAAAACCCCCAACACCCCATGCCGGCGTGATTACCGGTTTGATTGGCAGGCCTCCGGAGTAGGTTGGTCTAGTGGAGTCGGCCGTTTGCTGCTGGGAAGATGCAGTTGTTCCATCGAGCGAGGGCACAGTCGAGGTAGCGGAAGCGGCAGAAGTGGTCGTCGTAGCATGAGTGGTCGAGGTAGTACTGCCAGAGGTTGTAGCTTCGGTAGCTGTTGACGCATCGGTTACTGTTTTTGATGCATCTGTATGAGTTGCCGTCGTGGCCTCGCTGGCAGTATTCTCCGTCGTTGTAGGGTCCGTTTCCTTTTCTTGTCTAGCCTCGAGGTTGGCGACTTCCAGATCGCGTCGTCCCGGGCCCGAAGCTGGCGCTGCCAATGTCCCCAGGAGGAACAGGGACACTATTAGGGTGAAGAGCAAAGACCAACGCATCGTAGCTGGATTTCTAAAGCGAAATGCGATTAATTCTCCGTAGAGAAGGGTATTCTGTTATTGTAAGACCAGCACGCCTTTCACATATCCCACAATGTTAGTCCCACGGTTGGCGCGCGAAATCAATGGAGACCTCGGGGGGGAGGGGGGAGGGGGGAGCCCTCGAAGTACACAAATATTAATAATTAACAATAAATAAAAGGAATTAATCAAAGTGGCGTTAGGGACACATAGGGTAAAGAAAAGAAAAGAAAGGAAAGGACAAACGGAGGCCAGCCCTAAACCTCCCTATATATAAACGAAAAAGATGTGGAAATGGACTCATTTCACATGGATTTGAGTTTGATTAGGTACAGGAGAGAGAAGCCAGTATGAACCCAGTACCCAGTATGGAGCCTAGGAGGAATATAAGAGGACAATAACATTTAGCCACGCGATTGTACCTGAGCTATCTTCTTTTGCCCCCACCGATCGAGGAAATGGCCGATCTACCTAATGAACTTGTATCAACTCGGACTAGCACCGTTGGCACGGACCAAAGAGAGAGAGAAGAGATCCTCATGTCTCCATCTTGTGGCTTAATTATCTTTTCTCTTTTGACGAATATTACCATGCCACCATGCCACCATGAAATCATGAAACCATGAAACCATGAAACCATGAAACTATGAAACCTCCTTTTTTTTGCGCGTTTTACGGGATTGTTATTGTTCTTTTTTTCTTTTTTTCCTAGTTTCTTTACGGAGTACTCTCGAACAATGCAGATCTAATGCCAGTGAACTGTCAATCCCTCGCTTATAAGCAATGGTCCACCGTGATTTACAACATACATTCAAGTCCACATTCGTGATAAAAAAAATTAAAAAAACACAGCAGAGACTCTCTCCACGGGTGGCGCCGCGCCTTGACTATCACAGCCCGATCTATCGATTTTGCAAATTTAGCGAATATTTGACCTCGAGCAATTTGATCTTTAAGTTTGACCTTTGACCTGACCAATCTCATTGTCCTATAGATGCCCATTGTTGACGCCTCGCAAACGCCCCTCCTGCAGCGACGTGGTTGGGCCGCTAATTGACAACGCAAGGAGCGCATCCGAGACAATAGCTATCTTAATTTATTCTCGGTCTGGCTCAATCCATCAGCGGTATTGCAGCTTGTCCGCTGGGATCTGCTTCCCCTGGCCGATCTGCCTATCGGCTGCCATTTCCAGTTTGGTGTGCGTACTCCGTAGGATTGTACTTATACAAATTGTAATCGTACGGTTGTACCTACAACATAGGTACTCCATACAGTCTGCGCGGGACAGTCGGATGTGATGGATTGTGACATGATCAGGCTAAAAATTTATACCCTGCCTTGTTCGTGTTGGCATTCACATGGCGTATGAAGGATTTCGAAATAATGTAGCCTCGCTTGATTGCATTTCTTTGCTTTTTCGTCCTTGTAATTTTGTTTGGACTCGGGACTTGAGACGTTGGGTTTATAATTCTGAAGCTCAGATAGAGCTATAGCTCTGTAACATAAGCTTATGAGCTTCGCCGAAATGACCACGGAGTATCCAATTCTCCTTCCAAGGAGATATCAATTGCAACCAAATTCCCCGACTCAACCTACAATAAATGAATAATAATGATGACAATAACTGGGCAGCCCAACTAGTGTCTTATGCCCCCATATCACATCCGAAAGCGGTAGCGACGTGTCCAGATCACGTGTCGTTATCAACATCACATCACGATGCCAAAACAAATCTCAATTAACCCATCCTAACTGTACTTGGTAATCCATAATCCACACACTCTACCTTCAACCATGTCCGCCTTCCTCTCCTCTCTGCGCCCGGCCATGCGCATGGCCAATGCTCCCCAGGCCGCCCGCGCCTTCAGCTCCTCGCCCGCCAACTCCATTGCCCGTCTGACCCTCACCGGTCGCCTCGGCGTAGAGCCCGAGCTCCAAGCTACCTCTTCCGGCCAGGAGGTCGTCAAGTACACTGTTGCTACATCCCACGGCAGCCGCGACAACCGCCAGACGAGCTGGTGGCGCGTCACGAACTTCGTCCCCGAGGGCTCCCAGCGTGATTTCATCCTTGGTTTGCAGAAGGGGTAAGTGGATGTCCTTAATATTTTGTTAGCTTGTGCGGGACACAACACTGCGTGCTTGGATTCCGTCTTGTCTGTTGGATGTGTTGCTGTATGCCGCTTGGATCCGGCAGGTCTAAATGCGTAGACCATGCGGATCGAGAGCGAGAGCTTGCTTTCGCGATTGAGAACTGCATGGGGATCGTGCTGTCCTATCTGAACGTATGACATGTGGAGTTGGCGGTGAAGCGACGCGCCTTCGGATAAGACATTACTCCATGTCATGTTCGTGGTTGAGCGGTAGGGGCTGAGCTATGGGATTGCCCTGCTCCTCAATTGGCCCTGTCCAGTTGCACCAATACAGCAATTTAAGCTTTAGCTTGATGCAGATGTGCTAACCTCGTTCCCGCAGAACACTCGTGTACCTCGAAGGCGATGCCAAAATGGTCTCCTGGGAAGATGCCGAGGGCCACTCCCGGTCCACTTTGAACATTATACAGCGTATGTCGATCCCCCGTTTTCTCAATTTGCTGCCACTCTTTGGGAACAAAAAAAGCCCCCATGGTTCAATCTAACACCCTTCTAGGCACTCTCGAGGTCCTTAAGCGACCCGATAACAGCGGTGACGAGTCTCAGTAGATTTATTGATCAAGGCTCTGTATCAATCTAAATTTGTTGCTAGTTTCATTTTGGGGCTGGTGGGGTTGAGTGAATCTCCCTTTGCGGTGTGATTATATTGTACGATTATACCCTGAATACACTTCGTTCAGTACTGGATGGATTCGATCGTGATAGCGGGTGGTGTAGTACATACCTAGGTATGCTGAAAGCTCGATCCATGGGTTTAAAATATTGTCTTTTCTGGATTCAACCCATGACTTATTATTTCATTTCATACTCGCGAAAGCTTACAAGGTCTTTTGCCCGCCCGGGGGGCCTACGACCGACCCGCGGACTAGTACTGCTTCGGCAACGCCTACCTTCCTGTATGTCAAAAGTGGAGGGTAAGACTGTTCTCAATCACCTACGTTGCGGCATACTGATTAATAAATATATATCTATATAAAGTTTCTCCCTAGGTTCTACACTCGTATACCAACACCATCTATACAGAAACAGATTCAAACAATTTTATTTTGCATTTTTCATTTTGCATGAGTTACTCGACCACGCAAATTATGTTATGATGCTTAGTTAAGTAGTACCACTCTGATGTACAGATAGATTCCCATGAACTCAAACCAACGCGAAGGCAAGATTAGAAACCCATAGTAAGCCACTGCAATCCCAGATAAAACCCCAAAGAAAGGACCTGCCCACTAGACCTGAACTCTAACCTCGCTCTGCTGGCTAATAACCTGTCGTACATGAATGAAATCCTTATTAAGCTCGGGGGAAGTAGGCCCGCTGGACAAGTCCCGACTATCACTATGACTAGCCCACGCATTCGTGGAGACAGTCTGCAAGGTACCGCCAGGGAGGTCAGTGAGCAGAGTCCCATCAATATCCTGACGAGTCTGACGTCTGTTAAAGAGCGACCAGGGCAAGCTACTCCATCGCGACTTGGTCGACCTACCATCGCTATAGCGGGACAAACGCGAAGAAGTACCCTTTTCAAGGTCATTGTATGTACCATGCGTCGAGACAAAAGTGGCGATAGATTCCTTCTGGCGCGAGAAAAGCGATTTGGCACGGGAGCCGATGCTGCCGATTAGGGTTGTTGCCGATGAGGCGTGCGCGGGGGAAGGAGCCGTGCTGCGGGTGTCTGTTGGGGGCTGTATGCCCGGGAAGCAGTAGCCCAGTCCGAGAGACCAGAAGACAGTGCGGTACATGCGTGTTGCATCGCGGCCGGAGCCGAAGAAGATGAAGATCATGAAGCCTGATGCGACTGGGGTCCAGCGGTCGAAGAAGACGGTGCCATTGATGGGGATCATTTCGATGATGTTCCATTTCCCGTTGTGGATTCTGCCCCAGGAGTAGTTGTGCCACGGGAGGGAGAGGATTATATCGTTATAGACGACGTATCCTTGGAGTGGGAGGATACAGACTAGCATTGACAGGGCGAGGAAGAAGAGGCGGAGGAAGCGGGATTTGCTGAGGTTGCTGCTGGAGGCACGGAGGATGTTTGCGAAGTCACTTCGGTACTTGTGTACGCGGATGAGGACCAGACCTGCGGTGTTTAGTTAATGGGGGATTCTTTATATGAATTATGTTTTGGAGTATACTTACAGCAATAGTATGCTGCGATGAGACAGATAACCGGCGGCCAGATCCATGCAAAGACGAGACTGACCCAGCTTTCGTCGAAGTTGTTCACACATCCTGAGATGGCAAATAGCATGTATCGACTCTTCTGCCAGATGATATGTGTAATCATTGCCATGACTGGAACAGCAATGCAGAATAAAATCTCCATGAACTGAGTGCGCCAACGTTGACCTTTGCTCGGGACTAATGTGGCCCGATCTGTGTCCAGTACAATTGCAAGACTTCGAAAGATACATGCCAGGCTTCCTGGGATACCCACATAGCTGGCAGTCATAAACTTGACCTCGATGTCGCAGAGACCAGATCCGTCCCACCACGATGCCACGTCGTCCGTGGGCCATATGAGAGAATTGATGATGTTGAATAAGTTGAGGAGAATTGACCAGAATATCAAACTAGTAGCAGGAAAATTGCGGTTCTTTCCATGCAGAATTAACGGCGGAATAGCCAGGGCAATGGAGAAAGAAGATAGAACTGGCAGAACCACGGCCTGCGGGTGTCTTCGGTTGATATCCATGGCGGCAGTGGATGTAAAACAGAGTTTTAAAAAAAAGGATATCGATAACCTGAGCCTTTAGGTCTTCTGCAACCCGATCAAGAGAATGAAGAGATAGAAGGAAAGAAAGAGGGGTGGGATGGAACCATCCTCTCTCGATGAAGGATGTATATCCCGCCAGGGGAGATGATTGAGCGACGACGTCTTATTGAGATCCGAATAACGCGAATCAGGAGGTTGATTCACAGCTCAAGACATCATGCCCTGAGAAAATTCGTGTACTATTCATGAAGAATGTATGCGCCGCAGAGACAAAATTCGCGGCCGGGGGTCCCAGGCCGTGACATGTTTTGCAGGCAGAGAAACCTATCCAGTGGATTAGCATTGAATTAGACTAGAGAACTTACAATTAAAAGAATAAAGAAGATGAAAGAAGCTGAATAAAGAAACACGACATGCATAGGCTGTGGTGTTGTGGTTGAGCGAATAGTGTGAGGCAACACCAATCCGGATTTGGATGTCAATAGACCCGAGGCGGGGGGCACTTTATTCATTTTGATCTGCCTGATATTTTGGTCGTCGATCTGGGAGATTAATGACTAATGATTTATTGATCTAGATTGTCTCGTCTATTTAATAGACCAGACGAGATTCCTAAGGTGTGAGAGAGTTGATGTATCCAGAGAGGATCCTCGACGGACAATACACACTACAACGATCTCTCTCTTTTTCTCTCTGCATACTTCATATACATATGCTTATTCAGTAATACTCTACTCCACACTTGACTATTACTTAATAACACTTATAAATCTTGGAATATTTTAATACTTTTTCAGTATTACGAGGTGTTGAAGTTGGGGTCACTACCCACAGTCTCCCTTATGGTACATACTACATAGTAAACACAAGTACATGTACTTCTTTAGCTGTAGACATCACATTAGTTACCTGGAAATGTTAATTCATGACTTATTAATCTAGACTGTTTATATTCAGATTCACCAGATTCACCAGATTCCAGAGCAGTTGAGGCATTCGGAGAGGGCATAATACTACAATAGCAATAGGGTGTTTGCAGAGTCTATTAATTTCCACTTATACATTCGGTTTCTAATCACTTGAATCTAAGGACCTGTTTCATTATGTGACCCCGTGTTCCATCCAAGGTCACTTGTCTCTCCTTCTCGGCTGCTCAACATCCATGCCTTATTCCTATGTAACCCCCCTAATAACAGGAATCAGAAGAATCAGAATCTGATTGGGAGTGCAAGTCACCAAATGACCTCATGAGCACTTTCCGGCAAGTTTTTCGACACTCCTCAGGCCACTGGAGACTTTGTCACCAAGTTTTGCAATGTGAGCCTCCTCCATCTCACGACGGAGCTTAGCCCCCCTGGAGACCTTTGTCGCACCAGTCAAATGCCAGCATCAAAAACAATGTTCATGATGTCCAGTGCGGCGTTATTGGGGGTTTTCACAATATCGGCGACGCCTGTGCGGATATCCGCAGCTGTTCCGGCAATGCTGAGCACAAGGCCAACGTCAGCCAATCCCTCAATTGTACCTAACACCTCTCCAACAATAGGGACCATGAAGAGAATGGCTACGAGGAAGCTGCCTATAATCTCTGTTTCCTTGAGCTTCTTTCTTCAGCACTGAGTTTATCCGCAACCTTCTCAACTGCGCTCATCTCCTGGACGGCAGACACAATCATCAAGATAGGCAGTGAGATGGAGTCAATGAGATCCATACCGTCCCCAATCCAGGTGTCCGTGGCCATTTGAAATAGTGTGGTGGAGATTTGCGGTTTCAAGGATCCGGCCCTGTCAAGACCCTTCTTGGCCGTGTCCTTCGGGTTCGACACTTCAGACGCATCGTAGCCCTTTGGCAGTGAGATATTGTAGTCGTAGCCGGTCTTCCAACAATCATCGTCACACTTGACGGATGGTCCACAGGTTTTTTGACGAGTGTATTGCCCGAATTGAATATGGGACTGATTGATTCCAGTGTTCGTGTAGAGGTCAGCCCAGAACTTGGTGGCCTTACTATCGTCCAGAGACCAGTGCACACTCTCAGGGTAACCTCGATCCTTTCTAAAACGCTTTGAGTAATCTGGTGGGCACGGCTCAGTCTCTGACTTCCACTTATAAAATAGCTCTGGGTCACCAAACCCGTGACTCTGTTGACAGGCAAGGGAATCACAGGTCGTGTAGCAAGCACTGTCTGACCAGCAAAGGTCACAGTTGTAGGTATTCTTATTCGCATGACACTGGTCACAGCAAATGGTGTCCTCGTCCACCTTGCAGGTAAAATACTTGTTGCCATTCTGGTAGACGAAGTCATGGACGGAGGCACCTGCGAGTTCTGCAACCATGTCGGCATAAATCTTGAATTTCGCATCGTATCCATCATTTATAAGATCGGTGTAGTTTTTCATGGCAGTACTAGGCAAGTCCGAAAGAGTCTGCACAGTATACTGCGTGACACAATGCTCAGGGATCGTGCTGCTGGCATTGCTCAAGGCCTTGATGCTATGGAAGGTTGCTGTACAGGCGGCAAGCTTAGGCACAGGAGGTTCATCCAAGGCGTCATCGTAATTGTCGTCATCGTCGGTAAATTTATTCAAATCGACAGCCCCTTTCGACGGTTCCGCCAAAGTTGAAGCCCTTGTAGTAACTTGTGCGGCTATTCATGGTGTCACTATCCATGAAGGAAGCCCATGTATTGTCCCAAACAATAATATTGGAATCAAATCCCGCATCATAGTAGGTCTTGGTCTGGTTTCCAATGGCAAGGATTTCGTTAATCTCGGCATTTGCGATAATACCTGCGGTCTCCGTGCATCTGCCTTCTTTGGCAGTTGGGACCCGTGCAAGATTCATTGGTCATACCGAAAGAACGTCCGTAAGTTGGAATTCCCACAAACACCTTGTTTGAATCCACTCCGGCTTTCGTGACTGCACAGGAAAGTCGGTAACCAATGAAATCCAGATGTGTGGGGAGAAATAACGCACGCATGGATGGAGCGTACTTTGTCTCAGTCAAATTCACTATGAATATCAAATTAGCATCCATTACCGTGATCTACAGCGCAAGAGGAAGATGTACCTTGGCTGCGGAGACAATCGCCATTGGGGCAGCCTTCCTGAGTCCATTGCTTGCCGTAGTCCCATTGACCTAAAACGCAAAATTATCGTTAGTAAATAGACACTCGATTAAACAATTTCCAGGGCACTTGCCGTGTAGGTCATAGGTAATATAAACAATATAATCCAAAGACTTTGCCATCTCATCGATGAGGAACGACTTCAAATACCAGTAAGATGCTGGGGCGGCAATTGAGACAGTCTTATCGAATGGGAAGTTGAGCTTCATCTTCTTGATGAAGTTGAGGTAGGTGGTACCATCACTAGCGAGACCTTTCGGTATGCCGGGGAGGTCCGTAGCTGAGTGGACATTGATTGAGATCAGCCAGAGCTGTTCCATTGGTTGGCCTTTTTGTTCCAGCAACGATAGGACCGCATTGTGCGTTGGACACTGGCGCAGGCATCGGTGGGTCACCCTTGCTCAGGCAGATCAGGCTCTTGAGTTGAAGGTTACCACAGCCAAACCAGCCCCATATCGTCTTGTCATTGAAATCACTGATGTCTGATGCCTTGAGTCCATTGGCAGCTGCAATAGAGTTACACACATCGTTTGCCTGCACAGTGTAAGTGTGGCAGGAACCATCCTTATTGGGCTTTGGCCGGATATCCGGGAGGCTTCCGGCAGAACAGCATACAGGCTGACCAGCCACCAGCATAGAGCACAAGGTCTTGGCGGTATTGTATTTGGTGAAGTCATTTGGGGAAATTCCACATTTCTTAACCAGAGAAGGACAAGAGTCTCCTCCTATGACGCTTATCGTTCGGCAATCACTGCGCTTGAAGATGTGTGCATCTCGAACCGTGCCGTTACTGCTGAGGACAAGGTCCATTGCCTTCTCCAGAACAGGAACACCTCTTTTGGTGCTTACACCGTCGGTGCTAGCACACTGTCCATTACTCCAGGAGTGAACAGACTTTTGCACAGAGGTCAAGTCTCCAGTGGTATCAACTGCTAGACCGATAGTGTAGTCGGCGTTTGAAACACCCAGACAGCGTTGCATGACCATGCTCTTCGCATCTTGGCCTTTTGATATTTGCTCATAGAAGCGCTGGAATAAAGATGAGGTGCTCTTGGCATTGTCAATGGCAGGTCCAACATAGACTCCAACAGCCACCCCATTATAGTAGCCAAAAACATTGGTAGTGTCACAATGGGACGTGTTTCCGAGGTGATTCTGAACTCGCTCAAGAATGGTGTGGAGGTCATTGACGGAGACTGAGCTAACATCTGAATCTATATTCAGATCTAGTGAGATCCCCTGCTTTTCACCCGGTATGCATGTAGAATGGATGTCTCTGTTGTGGAACCGTTTATGAGAAATGGCATGATGGCCACGTGCGGAGTTCTGGACGCCCGAGGGAGCACCCGATGTGACAGTGTTGCTGGTCATATTGTTTGAGGTACAGACCAGTAGCTTGATCACCATATCTTCTTCATCAAGGCCGGAGTGAAGAGAAAAGTCCAACAGCATAGGCTCTTTACAAGCTTGAAGACGGGTGACTGATGTGTAGACGGTCCAGTCTCCTGACATGCTATCACGAGGAGCTGGACAAGCGTGTAGAGCAGATTGATAGGCATTGGCAATGGAGGCAAGGGACATCATTGCCAGGCCAATGGCTGATGCGCCTTTCGGTCGACGCATCTTGGGAACTTGAGAAAACCCACCAAAAGGCGGTCTTGTCAAAACAAAAAGGGAAGTTTCAATGAGAGAAGAAAGGATAAACAGATTGTAAGGAAAGATAGACAAAAGAGGCAGACGCCCAAGAAAAAAGTGCAACGATGTATAAGCCCCCGGAGAGAACAGAGTCTGATGGCTAGATCATGGGTGTTGAGAAATTGTCCATATATGTATGTATGGATGAAGCTGCTGTTTAGTTCTGTCCTCAAATTGTTCTCCGTACAAATTACAGTGCCTTACACTAGCCTTTCCTACATTACCCTGATACAATTTCACATCCATGTACTGGAGCATCGCAGGCTCCATCCGGGTGCCAAAAAACTAGGACTCCTGACCATATCCGGTATACATCCTGGTCAACCGGAAGTAAAGCTGAAGCGGTAGCAGATGTAATAACTAAATCTAATTGTAAATTTCAGAGGCGGATTACGCTTGAAGTGGGGGGTTCAAGGGGTTTAGCGGCCCCATGTTTGGGCTAAGCTTCAGGGATCAAATCCTACTTTGCATTCGCATTCGTATTAGTACTAGTACGCGGCCTGCTGAAGTTATTTTGTTGAGTATCTTTGTAATTTTGAAAAGATAAACGGTGACTCATTTAATTGACTTTTCTCTAGGGCTCACTCCTTTCTCATCTACTTTCTAATTGCTCTGTTTCATCACACGAAAGAAAGGCAACTGGAAGAACGAATTGTATCTCAACATGCCTCAGGTGGATGATATTACCGCCCTCGAGCTGTGTGATGCTGCCACGCACGGCTCTGTGGACCGGGTTGAGTCCCTATTAGCCTCGGGTGTCGATCCAAATGTAGGATTTGATGGATTGGCCTCTGCCCTTTCCGGAGTGGCAGGTGACTGGGCTAGTGTTGAGAAAAGCACATGTCCTCCAATAATTTTCTTTGATCACACTGAGGCACCCGCTCTTCGTCGGGCGGCACAAGATGGTAATGCCAAAGCTATCAAGAACCGCGGACGGGCGGCACAAATCATGACAACTTTGCTCCAGCACGGCGCAGACCCTTATGCACTGTTTCGTCAACCTATCCAAATTCAGCATGGCCGACCTTTGTATCCCGGTGACACCGAGGATAAGGACTTTAGCGATGAGGAGGCCGATCTTATGATGGTGACTGTGAACCACACTGAGATCCTTCGAAAGGCTCTTGAATTGGAAGAATTACGACAACAAGGGATACTAGAGCCTGAGTGTGGTGATTCTGATTACGAGTCCGACTGTGAATACGACATGGCTCTGGCATATCAGCCGCAGTATCCGCGCAAGTACGGTGTATGCAGCACTTTTCATTCGCTACTCGAGCTCGGCAAACCAGTTCGACCCGTGATCGAATTTCTAGGAGATAAACTAGATTTGGAACGAAGGGACCCTCAGGGACGGACGCTATTTCTGGCCGCCTGTCGGAGCCCTATCGGCTTAGACGCATCCATCGACGGAGACTTCCACACCCTCTCTCAGGATAGCACTTGTCGTGGCCTCCGTGAAAACCCCTATCCGCAACCCAACAACCCTTGGAGACAGTCTGAAACTCAAGGCTACACTCTGGTCCTCCCTGGCCCCACTCTCCTCGAGTTCTTTATATCCCATGGAGCAAATCTTCTTGCCGTCGATAACTACGGTAGAAACGCCCTTCATCAGCTCTTCATATCCTTCCACCGTGAAGCAGAGGTACAACCTCCGATCATTGAAGCTGGGCTCAAGTATTTGGTCGCAAACTGCCCCAGTCTAGTGAATCAGCCCGACTATGCCGGGTTTTATCCACTGCATCTTGCGATACGACGAATGGGCGTGTATATGAAAGCTGAAGATACTCTCATCCCAACTGCTATTTACAGACTGGAGACTGCCGTCGACGACCTCCTTGCCGGGGGTGCGGACCCGCTAGCTCGCGATAGCCGCGGTAACACGGTTCTCCATTACCTTGCGGCCTGCAAACTTGGTGAGAATGATAAGATTGGAATAGGCAACGAACAAAGACGTCTCCTTCGGGTATTCCTCTCCCGCGGGGTTGATCCGAAGGTGCGAAACCAAGACGGCAATTCAGCGCTGGAGATCTTTTTCAGGATAGGTCCCGTCCCAATGATAAAGGAGGCGGCTTGCTATGATGCCGTTGGCGAAGAAGTTATTGGCGATTTTGAGCAGGCGGGTTGTGATCTAATGGAGACCACTCCATATGGACAGACGCTGTTGCATTTGGTTGCCGGGCTGGTTTCCGTCCGGGCGTTCCCATGGTTCAAAATCCTCCAGGGTAAAGGGCTTGATCCCATGGCTCGAGACAAGGAAGGGAATACCCCAATCGATATCGCAATGGGGAATGAAAAATTGGCGAAGCACTTTCGAAAAGAACAATCGGAGATATAGACTTGTGAACTTGAGACAGATAAACAAAGAGTGCTCGCGTCTTTCAAGAAAGGAAGAGACCGACAAAAGGGGATAGGGGAAAGAGGAGAAGAGAGAAGAGAAAATTACCACTCCCAAATGAGCAGGTCCTGGTGGCCAAGAAACCTCAGGCGGCCAACGTCCCCAGGGTGCGGTGATCAATGCTTAGCACCGGGGCTCTAGTCTTCACTTATACAACCGAAAATGGACGTTGCCTATTTAGGTAGGCTACATACAAGGCACCGGCACTAAGCCACACTAGTACGTATTGGGGATTTTCCACCTGGCAGTGGAGGTTGTATTGTATTCTTTCTTAGAGGTCTAAAGTCCCACCCGAGAACTATTTGACTACCTTGGAAGGCACTTGTACAACACAGACGGAAGTTGAAAGCTGTTGAGATAATGTACAAAAGCAATTTGGATGATGTTGAAAAAGCCCTACAAGGAGAAAGCTACGTAAGGAGATTTTTATTAAATCAGAAAATCACATTGCCGGACATTGGTGCATGAAAAGATATTTACATCACGAAGTCTCCGTAGTGTTCGTCGTTTGAATCAAGATCCGACGATAGCTCGTGAGAGGGTGGTAGCCATTATCGGTCACTTCCAAGATCAAGTGTAACAACCAACAGCCAGAGGCAGTCAGAGCCTTTCCACCACAGCTCTCACTAGCTACAGGAAGCTGCACCTGTGCTTTCCGGCCGCCATTAGCCAAAGTGACATTGAACTCAGGCACTTGACCCGCAACATTCCAGTCAGTTGATCCAGGCTCGCGATACTGCAGCCACTTAAAGCTTAGAGCATCGCCATCGGGATCGGTCGTGGCTGCAGCATCAAACGTGAGGCTTGACCCGGCCGCTGCGTTTATTCTCAAGGGAGCAAGCTCGGCAGTGCCATTCACCGAAATCACCGGATGGTGGTTTGCTTTGCTGATATTTGCCGGGAGAGACCACTGCATGCGGGCAGCGAAATCATTCTGGAAGGCATTTCTCCACCGCCAGACCGTTGCACGGTTAGAAATGTAAGTGCCATTGTTTTGGCCGACGACGCGGTCAGCGGCGTCGCTATAGTGGTTGAAATTCAGAATAGTCGACGGGTTTACTTTTGAGTATCGACCACCCCAGGATCCATAGTCTGGTTGCTCGGAGACACCGAGTCCATTTTGAATGAGATAGAGGAAGCTCGGGGTATCTCCTTCCATGATATACTCGTAGCTTGGGTAAGCAGCTTTGCCAAATGTTCCGATTTGGATATTATCGCGCAGCCACTTATGCGAGACTTTAGAGTTATCAGGGCCCCCTTTGTCTTCGCCGTAGTAGTCTTCTCCGGAGATTCCATTCCATGTTGCAAGACCATACTGGTTCCAGCCGTGGGTGGAGGAGATGTAAAATATATCTGGGAATTGCTGACGGATCCAGGCACCTGTGTCATCCTGGTCTGAGATTGCGTAGACACGAATACGAGACCGTAAGTCAGCGGCTTCGGTCGCTGAGTAGCTATCGTGAATCTTGTATAGCACTTGGGCGAGGACGTTGGTTCCGCCCCATGCGAGAACCCACAGGGGCTGGTCGGATTCCCCTTGGAGACACTCGAGGAGCAGCTTTCCTCCATCACTAAGAGCGATGTTCTTCCCCACTGCAGTCATACCATATGTCTTGAAGTTCTCATTGTCAGTTCGGTGCAAGATATTATTTGACTGGATCCAAACTTACGGCAGGGCCCGTTCGCACGAGGCTACGCATGTGCTCTCCTGATATATATGGCGAATCTGGAGGTGCATGCCGGTTCAGATTATACGTGATATTCGCATAGGCATCAATCACGGATAGCATATCCTCTGGATGGACTTCATTTTGCAACCAAGTCGAGGTGACGGCGACAATGCCCTCCGTGTGGAATTGGTTGGAGTAAAGTAGGTATCGGGTCAACGACTCGGCATCGTCGGGCTCGTTGGAGATATCGGAGAGAATGAATACTCGCGGTTTGTTGGGGATTGGCAAGAAAGAGCTGGTATTTACGGCTGTGGCAATTGTTTGGACTGCTAATGTCCACACCAGCAGGAATGTAGTCAGTGAAGCCATAGTTCACTTTGATTTCTGCTATTTTCCTATACATTACCTCTCTCTTTATAGTCCCTGCAAAACTCCCGGATATCTTCTACGGAGAAATGCCGGAGGTTTCCCCCATCTTCTGCACTCCACATTTTGTGGGGTAGTGCTAAATCCTACTCTATCTGGCCGTGCCTCTCCCAAATGGGAATTCCCTGTCTCAAATAGGAACTTTGAACCACCATGTTAATCCGGCACGGTGAGCTGAGAAAACATAGAGATTTTGGTCCGAGTGTTGATCTTGAATTCTCCCATTAAGGCTCTCCACACATAACAAGCCGACCTCGAAGTTCCTAATAGCTGATCTTTTTAACAGCCTTTAAGATCTCTCTTTTAGGTGTCTCTACCTAGAGCCTTCTAAATTCCCGTACTACTATACCACATAAAACTAATTAACTAAGAATTTTTTTTTTGAACTAAGATTAAAGGTTTAGATATCTTATATCCCTTGGTCTTCTATATTGGCAATTAAGAACGGGGTTGTTAGGCTATCGTTGGTCTAAAGGGAAGTATACCACACCGATTTAGTGAAAAGGTGCTAAATGCGAGCCAAGTATCAAGGTTAAAATCTACATAGTTATTCTAGTTAATATAATATGATAAAGTGTTGTGTATATAGACGTATAGTATATAAGTACCGTGCACAATTACCATTTTAGGATCTGCGAACCAGATTGGGCCCATTGCATCATCCCCATCTTGGCAATTTACCCCATACTCTCCCCAGGGAAACACATTCCTTTTCCAACCTTCAAAATCAACATGCCTGATTCCCCCATTCAGCCCCCTTTGAACTTACGTCGCGCCCGCACCGAGAGTCAGCGACGGAACTCCACCCTTTCGGACTCGCTCTCAGAGGCCCGCAACTCCATACGCTCATCGACCGACGACTTGTTTCTACCTCGTGTAGCAAAAGGCCATGACGCAATTCCAGCTGAAGAATCGAATTGGCATTCTGCACCCCTCGGGCTGGCCCTGCTACCCGCAATTGCGGGCATTTTCTTCCATGAAGGTAGTTCCTTCGTCACCGACGTCACATTACTAGTCTTGGCCGCTATATTCCTCAATTGGTCTGTCCGGTTGCCTTGGTATATCTCCCCCACGATCCTCTTATAATCCCCCAAAATAATAGTACTAGTATTAACTATATAAAAGGGACTGGTACCGCTCAGCCCAGGCCATCCGACGAGAAGAAAGCGGATTCCCAGCGCGCGACGATCCCCAATTCGAGCTCGACGACGACCACGAACCCCACCACGAACCCCACCACAACGAAGCAGCAACAGCCATCTCCGAGCTCCAAATCCACGAACTAGCCGCTCTAGCCGCATGCTTCATATTCCCCATAGTCGGCACCTGTCTCCTGCACGGCATCCGCTCCAGCCTCTCCCGACCCTCCGAAGGCCTAGTATCAAACTACAACCTAACGATCTTCCTCCTAGCATCCGAAGTCCGGCCAGTCGCCCATCTCCTAAGACTGATCCAAAAACGAACCCTACACCTCCAACGCATCGTATCATCCTCAACAGACCCAATCGTCACCCCGACAACCTTGCAAGACCTAACAAAGCGCCTCGAAGAGCTCGAAGCCCACGTCGCAGAGACAGCAACCGCCCGTCTTGCAACCCAACCAACAGATAAAGACACCTACTCCCTCTCTCCAAAAGAACTAGAACGAAAACAACCCGAGACATCCCCATCCCTCGTCGCCAGCGCAGCCCTCGAAACCCGTAAAGCTATCCAGCCCGATATCGAAGCCCTTAATCGCGCCGTCCGGCGCTACGAGAAACGATCCGCCCTCTTCTCCCTGCAGACTGATCAGCGCTTCGTGCGTCTGGAGACGCAGGCCGGCGACGCCATTGCTCTGGCTGCTGCTGCGAAGCGGTCGGCGGAATCCCGGCGCCCGAACTATGCGCTCGTCCTGCTGGACTGGGCTTGCGCGTGCGTCGTTGTTCCTACTCAGATTGCGCTGTCGCTTGGTAGTTTGCCTGGACGTGCGGTTGCGGGGTGTTGGGATGCTGCGATGCGTATGCTTCCGGGGCGGAAGGTTGTGCCGCAGCAGAGATCGAAATCCAAGTCTGGGCCGAAGGGGAAGGCTGGGGCTGGGCCTGGACCCGAGAGGGCGGGCTCTTCGGGTGTGTATCGGCAGGGTGGCGGGTTGGCACCGCAGCGGCGGTCTGGGGTGAGGAATGGGGATGGGGTGTGATGATGATATGTACGGAGTTTTTTTCTTTCTGATTTATTGTTGACTGAAGATATTTAGTGCGCAATGGGCATTGGGGAATGGCTGAAGGATCGGTCCACGGATATATTGGCGTTTATGGACTTGAGTACTTCCGGGGCATGATCTATCATATACTGTAGGATGAGAATATCGACTTCAGTTGAAATACAGGTACTCAACCTGGTATCATTAATCTTTATAGGCGAGGTAAAGGTGAAGATATGGCATTGGTACAGCATTGTACACATCAAGGCAACTTGATGTAATAGAACAACTTCAAAAGTCAAGTCTATAGGAGTGAGAACATGGATGGGTTTCTGGCAAATTTCAGATTAACCCGAAGCCGGACCGCGAGACAAAGGGTCACGCCCCACAAACCTCTCGACTTGTATCAGAAAAGAAATCAAGGCCGACCCCCAGATGGACCTCGATCATCCACTGCAACCATTTTTAAGAATGGCTCAATGATTGATCGCCTCCGCTCTTCAGATATACGACGCTCTTTCTCCTTAGGAGGTAGCGGAGCCGAGGCAGAAATAAGCACGAGTGAAAAGATAGATGCTAGAGCAGTCTCAACTGCTTGTCGGCGTGCTATAGAATCGTTCTGGCTGGTGGGTTCAGGGTTGGTGCCAGCGGATGTGCTCGTGGAGCGGTTCTTGCGGCGGAAACTGCCGCTGGTTATGAAGGCAGTAGCGGAAGCTGGAGTAGGAGATTGAGCTTGATCCTGGCTTGCAGTTCCAGCCTGCTTATCTGCCGGCTCTTTGGCAACAATGTGCTTTCCTTGCTTGGATAATGGGAGCAAAGGTGTACCGGACGATACTGGAGCCACTTCATTGGCGATGCGGGAGAGCATAAAAGTGACAAACGTAAATGATACGCTGTGCGCTGGTGAGTAGGCTAGATGCTCAAGCACCCAGGCCTGGGTTTCTTCCCAGTTTCGAGGAGGGGATTTGCTTTTCTCACGTACGATTATCTGCTCCTCCATGTCTTGCCATACTTTTGCAGTGACGATGCCATCTTGGAGCGCGTTGAGGAAAGTGAGGAGGGTTTCAGATAGGACCTCCAATCGATGAAGAGAGGATAACTCAGGAGCAAATATTGAGGTGAGGGACTTGTTGGTGTCGAGGGCTTCACGCACGGAAATTTGCAGCGCAGCACGCTCCTGCCGGTCCTTTAGAGTCCATGTATCAGGCTGAAAGGGCCATGCTCCCCCGGAGAGATCCATTGTCCATGGGGCTTTATGCTCCTCAGATTCACCATTTGTCATGCTCCATTCTGCGACCGCGCGCTCTGTCAGCTCGGAAACCGCCTCAGTCAGTCGGAAAAGCTCGCGGGGTGCCGACAGGCGGATTCCCGTGGAACTATCTGTGCTGGATGGGTGAGGGGTGTCGGATTCGGCCAAACTTCGAGCACCCGCTTCTGGCATCCGAGTCAACTCGTCGATACTGCAACCGAAGCAGGTGGGTAGCCAACGGCCATGAACAGAGATAAAGTGGTCGCGACCCCCATCGACATGAAGGACCATGATGTCTTCGAGTTTGACCTTTCCAATATTAAGCAATCGGACATGTTCGATGCTGCGAACGTAAGCTGTGACATCAACATTCGCTACTTCACCAGGGAGCAGAGTGTGGGTCTCAGACGAAGTAGTCATCGCTTGGCCAGTGTCATGGGCAGTGTCCGCAGACTTGCAGACGTGCATAACGAGCCATGAGGGTGGTTGTGCAATGGTCTTCTCATCAACGGTAGGTCGCTCCGCAAATGAAAAAGTGGCTGCGGTGCCACTGGTGTTGGCAATGGTTAGGGACCGATGAGCTGGGACATCGAAGGCAATATCGCCGAAATCGACGGTGTCGGGATCTTTGTCTGTGTGCTTTTGGTCACCATGTTTATCCACCACAATAGTGAGATCCGGCCGAGCTTCGTTCTCAGCCTTGTCCAATTCACGGGCCACTTCTTGATGGATCTTTGTTTTGAGTTCGCGATTGACCGCATCAAAGCTCAACGTAAAGACAGCATCCAGAGGCTTGTGGTCCGACGAAAGAATGCCTTGGTGTGATACATAATGGTCCAAGCAAATTGGATCATGGGAAGAGTCGAGCGATGCAACTGTGACCGCATCATCATCATCATCAGCGGCTTGATCCTCGCCTGATATGTACTCCTCACTGGCTACCCCGTCTGCGTCAGGATCATATTCAAACAAGACGTTATCATCGGCAACAGCTTTGTCCAGCCCGCTTGCCTTCATCTCCTCATCCCTCTTTCGGGCCTCTTCTGCTTCCTGGTCAAGCTTGTCATGTCTCAGCTTGTCCCGGTGACTGCGAAACAGAATCCGATCACACCAGCTAGGACCCCGTTGCTTCTCGCTCGAATCAAACATGGCCACACTCCCGACATCATATTTGTATGTCGGCAAGAAAGTGATGTGACCTTCCCGCCAACCCTTGTGGAAAGCTGCTCCTTTTCTCTGCTGGAGTCCGAGTTGATCATGCGGGAGGAGTGAGGAAATTGTTGTTTGAAGAGACGCAGGGTCATTATGAGGATCAATCTCTTCGTCAGTGACAGGTTCGGTGACTGGCTCCGTCTCCTCTTCTTCGGGGGGAGAAGAAGAAGAAGACGACTCATCGCCAGAATCGGCCTTATGGTTCCCAGCATGGCTTGATGATTGCTTTTCTTGGCGCTCTTTGTCGTACTCATTGGCAGTATGCCGAGAGAGGACCTGGCGCACGTCGTCACCAGGGATATCGTCGAGGCGGTAGTTGAGGTCACCAAACCAAAAAGTGAAATCTTCATCTCCGATTGCTTCGCCCGAATCACCCGATGATCCGTCCTCGGACCAAACCGCGTCAAATCTAGCACGCTGGACAATCTGAGAAGAGTCCCAGTTGCGCCGCTCCAAGCTGCCTTTGTCGGACCCTGCTGCGAGATGACAGTTGATAAAGACCAAACGGGTCGTTTCGCCCAAGACAAGGCGCGTTGCCACGGCGCCCTTGTTTCCCATGTATCCCATCAGCCCCGTGCCGACAGAGGTACTACTGATATAAGAAATACTCTCTCCAATGGCGGGCGACGCATATATCAGAAGCAACAAACCGACCAGCTGAACTTCAGAGACTAGCTGATATCCTTCCGGTAGTGCCTTCTCGACTGCTTCCTTCCACCGCTTGGATGGTGCCAGATCGACATATGGCCGGAGGGCTTCCGTTGGGGAAGATATATCGACCACTTCTTGCAAACCCAAGACGTAGAGGTCTATCTCTTCAGGGCTGTAGTTAAACGTTCCTTTTTTGTCGCCGTCCGATTTCTGCTGGTCATGCTTGCTGTACGATTGGAATTCTGGCTCTCGTGCGTAGTTTGTCCCAGAGAACTTCGGGCAGACCCCATCTCCTTTAACAAACCACTTCCCAATGTCTTTCTCGGTACCGGAGATGCCGGCTACATTCCACGTGCCAACCTTGACTCGGATAGATCGCCGGCGTGTGTACTCAGCTTTTCTTGCTCGGACCGCACGCGAAAGTGACAAAACATCGAGTCCTGGGTTCTTAATCTCTTCCGCGTATTCCGAGTCGTGGCTCTTGTGTCCTGACCCGGACGACGATGGGTATTTAGTGCTCATGGCGTATGATTATATGATTGGATCAGCAAATAAGAAATATTCTTCGCCTCGCTTTTATTGTTCGAAGTTCGGTGGGGTAGGGGTATGTATGTGTGCGCTTGCACGGTTCAATTCCGACAAGGGAAAATAGGCTGTGAGGGTTGTCGCAGTAGGAAAATGAGGGAATAATGATTATCATAGGATAATTAGAAAGAATTGAGAGAATCAATTGTATAATGCGACAATGGCTTGGTCAATTCATCACAGAGGTTCATCCCACCAAGGTTGAGAAAGGTCGTATCGTCATCACGTAGAATATAGGGAACAGGCAATATGTTTGAGATCAATCTGAAAGGATTCAGATATATGCCAGTATCTGTGTATTCTACTTGAGGTTCAAAAGGGAAGAGGTTCAAGAGTAGAAAGTAGGAAGTAGAGCGAAGCCGGATAAGCGCGAAGGCGGAGCTGCAATGACGATATGCAGCTCCTTCCCTCTTTCACACTTTCCAAGAGCTCCAGACAAAAAACATGGCTTCACGCAAACCTCGGAGACAGAATAATCACAATCCCGTCAACCTCACTGATTATGAATCTGACGCCCCATACTATTCCGACATGCAGCAGCAACCTGCACCCCCGCCCCGCTCAAACGAGGAGCTCAACCTCTCCGTTATCCGCCGCCACAAGCCCTCAGTGACCTCCATCCTCTCACTCGCCCCCTACGCAGTAGTCTACATCTTCAGCCCCACCACAAAGCAATGGGAAAAGAACGGAGTTGAGGGAACCCTGTTCGTGTGCCAGGAAACACAGGGTGACCTGGGCGAAGAGCGCTACACTGCCTTCGTGCTAAACCGCCGCGGGTTGAATAACTTCGATCTCCCCCTCACCGACAGCGAGAATGTCGAAATCACAGAAGAATATGTGATTCTCAAAGCCGAAGAAAGCGCCGAAGGCGAAGCTGGACAAAATGGCATCGCCGACCCCTTGCACCCGCAAAATGTACCCAACAACCAAAGCGGTACAAACAACGTGCGTATCTACGGTCTCTGGATCTACTCAGAGCCGCCACCAAACTCTACCGCGGAGAGTCGCACCATAAACGCTCAGATGATTCTTGAGTGCGCCACCCACGCGGGGGAGAGCATGAAACTAGCTCGCGAGCGTCTCGAGGCTATGCGCCAGACCAGCTTGCACGCTGCGGCAGTGGCGGCTTCTACAAAGGCTGCCCCGATGGAGGAAATACAGGCCAGTGTGCCTATGGGACGTCAGATTTCCCTAAAGGATCTGTTTGGTCAGCAGCGTGCCCAGGACGACGCTTGGAGTGTGCGCGCACACCATCTAGTCCCCGAGCAGCAGCACCCGCAACCCTACCCACAGCAACATAATTATCAACACATGATGCCTCATCAGATGCCGTCTCCTACTCCCCCGCCGCAGCCACAATCCGACGTGTTAGGAGACTTATTCCGGAGGGCAGGACTAGCTCAGCAAGGCAATGGGCAGGGGCACTAGAGGAGTGCTAAATGATTCTTTTGGCTCCCTCAGTCATTTGTACATGGCGTCTAGCTTTGTGATTTATTCCGCATCGGGCTTTTTGTTATTCAGATGGGAATGGGCGTGGCGTAACGTCTCTTGAGATACCCGTTACAATCTGCGCCAATGGCGAAATTCATTGTCTTTAAGTAGTTCCTGTCTATTTCTATCCATTGTAAAAGCCATAGCCTCTCTCTCAGGCCACAATCTGCCCAATCATACCCGCAACCTTTCGCGCCATCACATCACTGTGTTCTACATACTGTCAGCAACGGTACCGTAGTGAAAGTTGATAGATGGCCACTTACTTAAACAAAAGGCATGCGGCAAACCCTCTTCACAAACAACCATAGTCGGTCCAGGCTGTCCTTCCTTCTGCCCGCGCACCGCAACAATCTCATTCCTCGTCTGATCAGCTACCCAGTGATCGTTACGACCAAAGTAGAAAAACAGCTTGGCGATAGGCTCGCGCGCCGACGCAGCGCCCCAAACATCATCACTCCATTTGTCCGAAGTGATAGTCCGCATTTCATCGGCAGCCATATGTCTATCCACCAGGCAAAAGTAATTAGCTAAACCCAAAGTATAGCCAAAAAAAAAAAAAAAGAATGGTACACATACAAAGCTTGCCGTACCCCACCCCGACTCCTCAAAAAAGCACACGTAGCATCCAAAGCATGAACGGGGGGATCACCCATGACAAGCCGGACAACAGATCGAAGAAGTGATGTCGGGAGCAGGAATGTAAGTAGTCGGGCGAAGAAACTAACCACGACAGCAAGACGGGGAATGATCGAAAGTAGAGTCTGCACAGCCGAGCCGAGATTAGCTACGAAACTAAAAGAAGAAACACAAGTATCTGATAAGAGATGTATGGTATGTACCGTCAATTTCTGTCCTGAAGGCGACGCTGCGATATCCCTGACAGTCGGGAAGAGCATCGCTCCGCCCACGATATCGAAGGCGCTTTCGGGGCTTGCTTCACGGTGTCGTCTTAGGATTTCCATGGCGATGTATGCGCCAACAGAGTGTCCGATTAGGATGACTTTTTTTCTGGTTCCTTTACCGTTGGCTTCATCTCCCATCAGGGTAGCGAGCTTCCCCTGAACAAAGCATGTCTGACCTTCCAGGTCGAGATCGATAGCATTGTTCGGTGAGGGTGAGGACTGAGGTTCGTCAATTTCAAAGCCACCGAGAGAACAGCCGTAGATTTGAAATGATGGCGGGCTGGTTGGAAGTTCATCCTTTGGCTCATCTAGATGCTTTGCAAGTAGAGAGAGGAACGGGTGGTAGTAGCCGATCAGACCCGGGTTGCCGGAGATGAAGAAGATTGTTGTCTTCTGGTCTGATGAAGAACCTGTGGTGGTGAGAAAGGTGTTCGGGGTAATTTCAGACGCCATTTTTTGTTTGGCTTGTATCATTGGATCTGCTGTAGGGCTCTCTCGTGTAAATTTCATCCAGGGTATAGATAGCTACGGGGTTGTTGGGTGGTCTGGGCTTGGTTAGTGGTTGTCCAGGTGGAGATAAGACATTTGAAGGATAATTACACGAATTGTACCCCTTTGGTATGTATTTTTTGGCGTATATGATTACTCTGGAGTGGTTGAATGAATTGACTGGAATTGATAGGGAGGTGAAGTCGGATTTGGCTGGTGGATCCAAGGACTCTACGCCCAGAGCCACCCACTCGACCATCCAAATATATAGATGTTTGTAACGAAAGCCAGAAGAAAAAGACAAGAACCACAGAGATAACCCGGAATCTATAGGTATTTTTCTAGGTGGCAGGGCAGATACTGTGCAGGCTGTACCAACCGCACAAATAACCCCAACAGGTAAAGAACACCATGAAGATAGCAGGTTATATTGCAACGACTCCATCCGCAAATGCATGGCTCCTCCACTAGTCGGTATCTAAATCCGACCAGGAAAATAAAAAAAATAGACACCGCAAGGCTAGATCCAATGCATTGCCCAGACGCCATGCCATGTACATCAACATTCAACTAGACGCTAGTTCAGGCCAGAGAAGACAAAAACCTCATAAAACCAAGAGGGAAACAGGTAAGGAGTAACCTTGAAAAGAAACTGAACAAGAAGAAAGGGCATCGCCCAAAGAACAGCAAGAGATGAAATATGGGAAATTTCGCAACCAAGTCTGGTATCTAGGTCATGGAAAAGGACACTTAAATCAAGAAAAATGCCTGGCTTACGAGGTATATTCATCCACCCTCGTTACCCTGACTGTCGTCGCGATTCTCCTTCTCGTAACTCTCGCTCGTCACCTCTGTGCGCGTTGTGTCGGTTTCTGAAATGGATGGTTTGGCCGTTGATCCAATGTTGATGGCGATTCTCTTGGGCGCGGCGCTGGTGACCCTATTTAATACACCTGGTGAGGCATTCTTGTCTGCCAGTGAGCCGGCAGACTGGCTCTTTTTCCGATTCATGATAAAGGCGCCAGAATTGCCGCTAGTTGAACTTCTTCGTTTGGGTCCCGCGGTAAGCTTGCTAAGCTCATCATCGTCTTCTTCCTCGCGGCGACGTTTCTCCGCGAGTCGCTCCGGGGGGTTCTGGGTGGGTGGTGATGCAGGAACCTCGGTGGAAGTCTCCGTTGGACTGGCCACTGGCTGTTGTTCTGCCCCTTCGGGTTTGGTGTCCATGATGTCTTCGTCGTCGTCATCTGGGTAGTCAACCAATGGTTTAACGACCGCACTGGCGGGCTCATTTGAAGATTCATCCGTGGTGGCCACACGGTCTTGTGTCCACTTTATCTTATTTGGTCAGTCGTTTGCTTAAACATTCTCAATCCAGAAGGTACCCACCTCATCTTCGTCGTCAGACGTGTTGAAATAATCCTCTTCCGTGGGGTCCATCTCTCTTGCACCCTGCCAGCGCTGGCCACTGAGGGGAATTCTCCGTTGAGCATTGCTGTCATCCTGACTGAACAGTGTCGCGTCGGCCTCGGCTCCGTATCCCTGCATCTGGTCGTATCGAAGAATCAGACTCTGGAAAGTATCAACATAAATGATGCTCTCGAGCTTCTCGCGATATTTTTCGACCACATGAAGGATAAAAGGCTTGATGTTTTCCCGCTTGATAAACTCAAAAAGTTCAAGACATGCCGAGTTGAGCAGGTTGTCGCGAGGCATTGTCTCGTAGACGATGTCGAGAATCAACTCAAAAGTGTTATTGTGTGTCATGAGAGCTTGGTAGAAGGTATCTTGGAGGCTAATCAAGGTGCGGAAGAATTTGAGGGCGACTGTCTTCGGCATTAACTATGGCTTCTGGGTTTAAAAAAAAGGGGTACACACTTACCGAGTTTGAGGTGTTTCTGGGGTACCCGCAGAAGCTGTGCAACGCGAGGCGCGAGAGATTCACTTTGGATAGAGTTACGTGTGCGGAAGAGATGCTGGCGGACGAAGAAGGTGAGGATATCAACAAGATGCGAGTAGAGGGTGACCTCTTGGAATGTCAAATCATTAACTAGACTCAAAGTTAGCAAAGTCTTGACCAAAATAAAGGATCATGTCACTTACGGGCTGTGCGGTTTGCAAGCTGTTTAAGCGGTTGGAAAAGCCGTTTTGAGGACTCATCAAAATGTTGCTGGACGAATGCGTCAGAGAGAAGGTTGTTGGTGCGAACTTTGAAGTAATCGGGTCCAGCCCGACCAAGCGGGTCCTGCATAGGAATCTGAGGATCAAGGAGAACCTTGATAGCATCAGCAAGTTGGTTCTTGACGCCGAGGTCGGTCTCCACATGAAGAAGGTCGATCAAGGTGTCTGTGAGTGGTGTCTTTTTCTCGTTGACAGCCTTGAGCATATAACCTCTCATCATGACTGGATCGTGATCCAGCAGAGCCACTAAGATATCAATGCCAGTCGTACGCATAGCTGGATTCAAGTGCTTGACGGCAAACGCTATCACGGCAAACAAGCCATGGCTAATAAAGTTGGCGAATAATTGGGCCCGCGAGGGCGCCTGCAAGTTCTTCGCGATGCCAGCACACTGGTGAAGAAACTGCACGGCGTCATCCTTGCGTCTCTGGTCCGGATTTCTCGGGTCGAACACGTGAAAGAGGTCTCGGAGGAAGGGCGCATTTGCTTGGATATGATTCACAATCTCCATTTGATTGAAGAATATGAGAGAATTGAGCACCGAAAATGTCGGGTCGTCCAAAATCCGAGCCAGCACCACATCTTTTAGATATTGCAGCCTCCATGTACTCCGAATCTTGCGGCGAATGATCGGGTCCTTAATCGGAACGACTTCCTTGTATCGCGATTTGTCTGCGAGGTATTGTCGGTGGTTCGCTTTATGTGTGGGGAATTCAGGGTCATCTATTTTCGTCAGTATCAATTGCATGGGGCTTTGGATCAGGGTGAAGCCGGCTAGAGCATACATTCCAGAGCCCCGACCACTCCCAGGATGACATGATCGGCGACGACGGTTTCGATGATGGTATTGTCGTTGAGTAAAATGAGAGATTTCATGATGTTGCACAAACGATGCAAATCGATCAAGCTTTCCAGATCCTCGGCCATTGTCACTAGCGGTACCAATTTGGCGATGTACTCGTCGCGAATGATGTACTTGGATAGCGCATCTCGGCCGCCCTGTGTCATACTCGCAGCTCGTACAATCTGTTCGATTTCGGGGAGGTTTCCGAGTTCGGGGGCCGGTAATACGATGGACTGGTAGTTATCGAGGTCGTCGGACAAGGCGTCATCTAGGAAAAAAATTAGAGCTGCCAGCTTCCAAATACGCGGCAAAGCTTACCAGCCGATGTGAGACTCAGTAGATGTTGTTGGACGGCATTAACAAAGTCCCTTTGATGGGGTTAGTTCATGCGCGCAAAGATTTTTGTTGATTCCTCACCAAATGACCGCACAACCTTCCGCCTCTTGGAAACTCAGTGCCATATCCGTGCCATTCTGCTCCGTCCAAACAATCAAGGTCTCTGGATCGCGGGATACGGTTAGCAAAAAAGGACATTGAATAGCGATGAGACGAGAATGGCGGGATAGGTACCCTGTTGTTTCTGGTAGCCATCATCCTTGGTGATCCGTGTTTCGAGTAGGACGCGATTGGGTAGGTCTTCGGATTCGACAAATATGCGAGGCTCCTCCTAGTTCAAAGCTATCAGTTACTGATGATGATGGTGATGCGCTCGGGATTTGCGCGCGATGAAACATCGCACGACCCCCAGTGCGCGCACAACACGCGACAACTCACTCCTAAGATCTGACCCGTGCAGAAGCCGGTTCCTCGGTCAAACCAATCATTATCTTTTAGTTCATAAACCTTCACTCGTTTGCGACCGTCGGGCGGCTGTACTTCCAGCGCCATGGTCCGGCAGGAACAGGGAAAGGCGTCTCGTCACTCCGGGCCTGATAAAAGTGCACCGGCGCGAGAGGAGAGCCAAAGGGCGGTGGGGGGGAAAAGGAATGAACTTTAAAGAAGGTTATCGGAAGATTGTGTAGGGGTCTGTTTGGAAATAGTTTGAAAGGGACGCAAAGAGGGAATGGAGGTGGAGATCCCAATGATGAAAGAGTCTGCGGAGGGGATGACGATCGGGAACAGTCCTGGTAGGTCCACCTGACGGCCTCGGCAGGTACTTGGGGGGTTTTCTAGACTTTCTTTTTCCCCCTTAAAAGTCCACGGAAATTTAACAAGAGGCTTCTTTAAAGATATATGAAGAGAAAATAAGAACTTTCAGATCTTCCAGGGTTCTCTATGATCCCTGTTTATCCCTATTTTATCTCTATCGTTTCTACCTAGAGTACCTGAAGTACCTAGAATATAGACACCCGGGACTACCGACGTAGGTACATATGTACCTAGTATATTGTGCACACAAGGCAGAGATATGCTATATTACTAGGAATGCAGCTTATGCTCAAACCTAGACTACTTTATCTTCATCCTTCTGGTGTTCTTCCATGATGGGCAGAGCTGGGGAATTCATTCTTCAAATGTTCTCTCAGGGGTTTCGGAATGGCATCAGTCAATAGTTCACTAGTTATGTCATAAATTATTTATAACAGCTGACTCTGACTCGTGTACAACTTAAATCCTGTAATATGATTTAAGATTCATCTATAAATCTATAAATCTATAAATATTCTCTGCAAGGTCAACTTCAACGCATGGATCTCCACATGATTTACAAGCTACAAAGGGGTACACGGGGAGTACTTCCCGTTGAGCTGACATTTAGCCTCTCTCAGCAAGTATCTGTCAAGTACCGACCGCCTTACTTCAAGCTGCTGACATAATAGACCAGAAGGACGGCCTTGTCCGCCGCACAGACCCTCACCGCCCCCACTCTCTCTTTGTTGATTGGCTGTGTTTAACGGCATAGAAAGTTCTTATCGAATATGGCCCGATTAGGAAAGGTTCC